GTCCCTTCCAACCCAAACCATTCTTTGTGTCCATGACTGTAGGAATGGTCATGATGGAGCACACACTGGGTGTATAAAAGGATCAGGGCTAAATCTGAATCTCTGGACCTTTGCACCACCCAGCATGTGACCATGGGAGGTGCTGCACTACCAAACCCAAATGCCACCAGGAGCTTGTCAGCTGCCCTTGTCTTCGTTGCCCTTTTTTTCCTTTTTGGCCTGGTGTCAGTGATCCAGACCCTGCCCGTGCCTCAGGATGCTGCCTGACACTGCAGGACCATGCCTGGAGCTCCCCAAGGCAGGCAGGGACACGGGCAGGGCAGGAGCTGCCCTGGGGTGGCCCGTGAGCTCAGTGCTGTCCCTCTGCCCCAGCAGAACCCTGCTGCCTTCGACTTCCTGGTGCAGCAGGTGGAGAAGACGCTGCGGCACGCCATCGAGGAGGAGGAGGGCTTGCCCTTGGACCAGGTCACCAACTTCCAGGAGGTACATGGCCCAGGACACAGCTGGGCTTGGCAGGGAGGGCTGACCTCCAAGCTGGGGCTTCAGCTTTAACCTGTTCAGGTTCCTTCTATACCCCATGGAGAGAGAAGCCCATCTACGGACATCTGCAGACTGGGTGGTGTGGAGGGAGCTTGTAAGAGCTGTCACCTCCAGCAGACTCAGCCAGGACACCCCTGTCCCTGGGTCTCTGCCCAGCTGAGACATGGTTTCTGCTTTTCCCTTGGCAGGGTTAATCGGGAACAGAGCCCTGAGAGAGCTGGGAAGGAATTTAGTGAGGAGAAAGACTCCTCAGATGTCCCAAATACTCATGCAAGAAAGCTGGGGAGGGACTTTTTATAAAGACTTGTGGTAGGATAAGGGGTGGTGGCTTCAGAGTGGAAGAGGGGAGATTTAGATGAGATGTAATGAAGAAGTTCTTTACTCTGAGGGGGGTGAGACACTGGAACAGGTTGCCCAGGGAAGTTTCAGAGGCTCCATCACTGGATGTTTTCAAGGCCAGGTTGGATGGGGCCTTGTGCAACCTGGTCCCTGCCCATGGCAGGAGGGTTGGAGCAAGATGATCTTTAAGGTCCCTTCCAACCCAAACCATTCTGTGATTCTATGTTCCTCTTATTCCCTGCTTCTTAGCAGCTACAAAGTGCAGGTCACCCCTCTCCAAAGCCAAGTCAGGAGTTTTGTGGAAAGCATCATTAGTGACTGGAGACTTCTGGTCTGTGCTGTTGTCTCCAGGTGCTCATGGAGTCCCTGATGCTGCTCCTTTGGTCCTTTAAATCCTTCCCCAGAGTCACTGGCAGGAGTCCCTGTGCAGGAGTAAATGACCAGATTCAACAAGCATTTTACTCATCAGCTCCTTCCTGTCTGAGTTTTACTTCTCTTTGTCTTGCCACAGGTTTGTGATGAAATTAAGGTCAAACTGAATTCCCTGAGGGATGTTCCAAACAGAATTGAGTGTCCCCTTATCTACCATCTAGATGTGGGGGCCATGTACCCCAACATCATTCTGACCAACAGGTTGCAGGTGGGTGACATCACCTTTATCTCTCCTAATTTGTCTTTCACGTGACTTGGGTGGTCCCTCTGACTGGATCCCCTGAACAGCAAGGGCTGAACGTTCTGCTCAGGGCAGGGGGATCACATAAGGCTGGATGTGAAAATCAGTCAAGCTGCCGTGGTTGCCAGGTCAGCAGAGGCTGAGCTGCAATTTTAGGACTCTTCCCCAAAAAAACAGCTGTTGGTTTTGTGGGTTTTGTGTTCCTGGGAGGCTCTGGAAAGGAGGGATCAGGGAGCACCACCCCCAGTGTCCACACCTCTGCCCTTCTGCCACTCGGCGCCTGTCCTGGTGTGAGCTGTCACCTGGAGAGCTGTCCCCACCAAGGCCTGTGTGTCTCTTGCCTCTAGCCTTCAGCCATGGTGGACGAGGCCACGTGTGCTGCCTGCGACTTCAACAAGCCAGGCGCCAACTGCCAGCGCCGGATGACTTGGCAGTGGAGAGGAGAGTTCAGTAAGTGCCTTGAGGACCCTGCAGCCCCACCCTCAGAGGCGGAGGCCACCTCCTGGGTCTGCCCTGGGGGGCTGAGAGCTGCCCCCCCCCCGCCGTGCCCGGTCAGCGAGTACCACCGCATCCAGCAGCAGCTGGAGTCGGAGAAGTTCCCTCCCCTGGCCCCCGAGGGAGCACCCCGCGCCTTCCACGAGCTCTCCCGGGAGGAGCAGGCCAAGTACGAGAAAAAACGCCTGGCAGGTAAGGAAAACCCCCAATGCCATGACCTAGGGTGGTGCATTGCAGCCCAGACCCAGTGCTTTTAGCCTCTCCTAGGGCCGTGGGGCTGTGGGTCTGGTCTCAGACTGTGCTCGGGCAGAACTTCTCCAGGCTCAGGCTCCCAGATACCTCTGTGCCTGTGTCGGTGTTTCTCTTTTTGTCTCCTGAGAGCTGTGGGTTTGAGCTGAAACATGAATAGCTCCATTTTTTGGAAGGCTGCTAACTAAACCTTATTAACTAGAGGGAACCATGACGTCACCTGGAGGGATGCTGTTCAGCAGACCCTTCTTGGCTGGCTGAGGCAGAGCCTGGGTTTGTGGGTGGGCCACAGAGGCATCACGAGGAGTTTATTTCCCCAGCCTTTCCCTGCATCTCCCCGGTGAGGTGCTGCTCTCTGTGCTGCTCTTCTCCTGCCTCTCTCCCTGCTGATGCTTAGGAGTCTCCCTGTCCATAGTGCCCATCCCTCAGTGCACAGCAGGGCACCCGTCCCTGAGAACCTCCCCCTGCTTCCCTCGGGTAGATTACTGCCGCAAGGCCTACAAGAAGCTGCACGTCACCAAGGTGGAGGAGCGGGTCACCACCGTCTGCCAGCGGGAGAACTCCTTCTACGTGGACACGGTGCGAGCCTTCCGGGACCGCCGCTACGAGTTCAAGGGGCTGCACAAGGTACAGCCCAGCTCCTGCTGTCACCTGCACCCCCAGGGCTGGGGACCTCTCGTCTCTTGCTCGAGCCCTAAAGGGTTGCTCTGCTCAGCCCTTGTATTTGAGAGGGACGTGGTGAGGCTCCTGACAGCTGCAGCTGCCGAATCTTCAGTGGCTGATGCCGTGGCCTTTACTGCCTCTGGTGCTGTTGGAAACCAAGCTAATCTACAGTTCTCACTGGGTTTAACAGACCCTAAGCTGATCACTGTTCTGATAGAACTGATCTGGCCGGGCTCAGTCTGGACCACTCTTTCTACATGGAGAAAAAAGCAGAGCTGAGAAGCAAGGTCTAGACTTCAGGTCAAGGAACGGTTGGTTCCAGGAGAACATTCGAAGTCTCTGCTGGTTGGAGTTTGTGCTAGAGGAGACTGAGGCATGTTATTCTTGGACTGTGTTGGAGGCAAGTGCCTCTGGCCAGCTCCTCCTCTGCTACTAAAAATAGGAATGTGTAGTTCATGCTACTGATCTTCGGCAGAGGTGTTCTAGAGTTGTCATGCTCTGCTGAGACTGAGGGGGAACCAGTTGGATGCCACCAGTGATGTCTGGGATCGTCCTGACTCTGCGTGTGGCTTGCAGGTGTGGAAGAAGAAGCTGTCTGCAGCAGTGGAGACAGGAGATGCATCTGAAGTGAAACGCTGCAAGAACATGGAGATCCTGTATGACTCCCTGCAGCTGGCCCACAAGTGCATCCTCAATTCCTTCTATGGCTACGTCATGCGGAAGGGGTGAGTGGGGGTCCCCCTGTGGGGTGGTGCTGAGCTCCTCCAGAGGGGACCCCTGGAACCCTGCATTGTCCCAGGGAGGCTGTCACTCCTTTCGCCTGCTCCTGAAGCACCAGGGTGGAGGTGGGTGCTGCCTGTAACTCACTCTTCTGGTTTCTACCAATGACTTCTCATCCTGGAGACTCCTCCCAGATATTAAGTGCTCAGCACCCTCACTGACAAGTGAATGGAATCTTCTCAGTTAGTGGGTTTCCAGCTTTATTGAAGCATCCGAACTAGGGCAAGGAGAACAATCTGCTGAAGGCCAGGATTGATGTGTTTCTTGCCTTTCTTCCTCTGGAGGTCCTGATGCCCTTTCCTTAGGTGGGTTTGGGAGCACTTCAGGTGCTCAGTGGGACTCCTCTGCTGGCAGGGCTCGCTGGTACTCCATGGAGATGGCTGGCATTGTCTGCTTCACGGGGGCGAACATCATCACCCAGGCCAGGGAGCTGATCGAGCAGATTGGGTGAGTGTGTGCTGAGCTGGCACAGGAAGGTCCATCCGGGCCTGGGGCAGGTGTGGGGGCACAGCAAACACCTCAGCGTTCAGCAGCTCACGTGGAACACTCGGGTTTCTGACACTGCTGCGGCTGTTCCGTTCTGTGGCAGAGGGGACTGGAGAGTGGGTGCAACAAGCTGCCCACTTATGGAGGACACAGAGCTGATCCTCACCTGTCACCCACTCTTCTGACAGTGACCCTTCTTCCTTCCTTAGGAGACCTCTGGAGCTGGATACCGACGGGATTTGGTGTGTCCTCCCCAACAGCTTCCCGGAGAACTTTGTCATCATGTCAACAAATGCCAAGAAGCCAAAGGTGACAATCTCCTACCCAGGTGCCATGCTGAACATCCTGGTGAAGGTGAGTCCTGCACCCATCCAGGCCAGCTCTGCCGTCTGGGAGGAAGGAGGTGGAGCATGGGCAGAGGAAGAGGATGTCTCTCCCATCTTCGCTCCCTGGGCAGTGGGTGGGATGCTGGGGCTGATGGCCCTGCTTGTGCTGCCTACCTGCTCTCTGCCCTGGAGAGCGTCTGAGTGGAGGCAGAGGCTCTGACATCCCTGCAGCAGAGGTGGAGGGATGTCAGAGGTCCAGGGCCGGTGGGTGCTCATCTCTGCAGGCTGGGGGTCCAGACTGGAGCAAAGCCCAAAGCCATCCTCTGCTGGCTCCAGCTTCTGTGAGAGAAAATAATATAATTGTAGGGTCCAAAGCAATTTTCTTCTCAACAGGCAGGTCACATGTTTTGATTTTTGTGTCCCAGCTTGTGCTGTAGCTTTTAGAGGGGTGCTCAGTGATCCCTTTAGGTAGGGTGTGCCCAAGGGGCATCTCCTGGTGTAACCAGCCAGGCTCTTGAGTGAAGCTGTTCTGGGCCTGTGCCTGTAGGAGGGCTTCACAAACAACCAGTACCAGGAACTACAGGACCCAGCCTCCCTCACCTACATCACACGCTCTGAGAACAGCATTTTTTTTGAAGTGGATGGACCGTACCTGGCCATGATCCTCCCAGCTTCCAAGGAGGAGGGCAAGAAGCTGAAGAAAAGGTGAGATTTCAAATCTTGAAATGTTATCACTTGCCCCAGGCACCAGTCTGAAGGTCTCTTTCCGTTGTGTGTGTGGGGCACATTGGTCCTTGCCTCTGAAGCTGGCAGCACGCTTGATTCACTGGCTTTAAATGGGGAGTTCCTTACACCTGACCATCTTTGAATCCAACTATGCACTTGCCTCCAATGCCATACTATAGCAATAAATTGTAGAAGGTAAAAGCAGAACAACATTTCTCCAGCTTGCTGAGCAGACATGATCTCCCTGTTTGGCTCTGAGGTGTGTGGGAGAGCTTTGACTTCCCTTCTGGGGACTTCTAATACTGCTCAATCTGTTTGAATGTACCAGATCCTGCCTTCCCATCTCTCAGGAGTTCACAGACCTACAGTAATGCTTCTCCTAGGTGTTTCTCCTTCCTTCTCCATCTGGAAGAAGGAATCATCTTGCCATTACTGTCACATTGTAGGGTAATTGTACTCAGACTTTGCCGATTTCTTTGTGGAGAACAGGAACAGCTAGAGCAGAAGCAGCCACTAGCTAGAGAGGTGCCCACAGCCCCTCCAAGGAATGCTTCTCCAGCACCCTCTCTCCTTACAGCTCTGTGCTTCTTTGTGTTTGATGTCCTGCTGGATGAGCTCCAGCATCCACCACCTCCTGTCAGTGCCTTTCTGCAAGCAGCGAGTCCCTGACACAGGAGTCAAGATGGTGCCAAGTACTGAGCAGGCTCTGCTCACAGGACTCTTACCTCAGGCCTCTTGGTTTCTTTTGTTTGGAGATTTTTGCAATTTATTTCTTGATCACTCTCCAACCGAAACAGCCTGGAGGTGGCTGACAGGCACTGTCACTGGTGGAGGAAGAGAGGGCTGTGCCTGTAGGAACGTGGTCTGCTGGGAGAAGGGCTGGATAACTGATTTAGGTTTGAGTATCTCCTCTCTTCTCCTAGCTAACATTCCCATAAGATTTGTCCTGAGGCATACAAATAATTGGCAGGTCTGTGAAATGCAAAAAAATGCAAGAGAAAAGGCGGGAGGGAGGAGGATCCCTAGAATTGTGTCATGGCTACATCCAGCTTCCTCTGAACCCCTCTGCCAGCATCTGAGCTGGCACAGTTCCCTTCCTCTTTCTAAACCTCTTCCTAATATCTTCCTCTATTTCCCTAGCTGGATTCTCACCTCCCAGCCTTAACTTGTGTGCAGTTGAGCTCATTCTCCCAGTCAGGTGGATGAGCTGGGGCAGGAGCTGACGTGCTTCTGCAGAGCACGTTGAAATGGTTGGCAAAGCAGCTGTAGATGTTCCAAGCCCATCCTAGTGCCGAGCACTGCGGCTCTGTTGAAGGTGCTGGACGGCAGCGTGGTAGTGTGGGGAGGAGCTCCCTGGCAGGAGGGATGCCAGCAGGATCCTGGAGGACATGTCCCTTGGCACAGGCCAGGTTTGGCCCATGCTGTGTCTCCTAGGTATGCAGTGTTCAACGAGGATGGGTCCCTGGCTGAGCTGAAGGGGTTCGAGGTGAAGCGCCGGGGAGAGCTGCAGCTGGTGAAGATATTCCAGTCCTCTGTGTTTGAAGCCTTTCTTAAAGGCAGCACTCTGGAGGAGGTCTATGCTTCGGTGGCCAAGGTGGCTGATTACTGGCTGGATGTGCTCTACAGCAAGGTAAGTGCAGCTCAGGACACCGGTGCCTCTGAGGTGTGAAGCCAGAGAAGTGTCAGAGCTGGTCAGGCACTGTGGGGAGGGTGGGCTTTGCCTGCACAAAGTAGGTGGTCCTCTGTACCTCTGATCATTTCCATCATATTTCTGCTGCTGTGTGGTGTCTTTTAGTGCAAGGGCTCTTCATTCAGCTGCAGCTGAGGGTGAGGGGTGTTCTTCATGGAGCTGGTCTGGTAGCTCTCATCCCCCAGGGGCGTTGGCTAAAGGCCTTGGCTAAGGCAGAGAATGACAGCCACTCGCCTGCAGAGTCTTCTATGAGGAGCACAAAGTTGCTGTACAGCACCTGGGGAGAGCAGAGAAAATGCAAGAAACTGAGGGGTGTGAGGGGCCGAGAGCCTCGCTGGGTCCCTCCATTTTGCAATGATCTTGTACAACAAATGATCCCTTGGTGAGCCCAGCCAGTTGGTGTGCACAACAAAAAGCAGTGATGGCACAGCCCAGCCGTGGCACGGGCCAGTGCAGACCTCAAAGCCCCATTCTCCAGTAGGTCACGTTGGCAGTTGCAGCAGGGAGCGATTCCCTGGCTGCCCGTCAGGCACCACAGCAGCCTGGTGGAGGTTCCTCCTAGCTTCAGGGGCTTCTCCCTCCCAGGCTGCCAACATGCCCGATTCAGAGCTGTTTGAGCTGATCTCTGAGAACCGGTCCATGTCGCGCAAGCTGGAGGAATACGGGGAGCAGAAGTCCACCTCCATCAGCACTGCCAGGCGCCTGGCAGAGTTCCTGGGAGACCAGATGGTGAAGGACGCGGGGCTGAGCTGCCGCTTCATCATTTCCAAGAAACCAGAAGGGTCTCCGGTCACCGAGAGGTAACCCCATCTTGAGAGGCCGGGGCCTTTGGCAGCGTGGGACAGGGCTGGGGTGGCAGGAGGGGAGCCAGCTGCTGGGGCCTGGCCCAGTGCTCACCTTGCTGCCTCAGGCCCTGAGACCAGCCAGGGGTTCCGCTGTGCGGCACTACCTGGTGGCCCTGCAGGGGCGGGAGGAGGAGCCCAGAGAGTGGCTGCAGCCTGGGCGAGGGGTTCCCGTGCTGCCGGGCGGTCGGTGAGCGCCCCCCTGCCCTCCCCAGGGCCATCCCCCTCGCCATCTTCCAAGCGGAGCCCAGCGTGCGCAAGCACTACCTCCGGAAGTGGCTGAAGAGCCCCTCGCTGCAGGACCTCAACATCCGGGCGGTGAGCAGGGTGCCCCTGCAGGTGGCCCCGGGACAGGGCTCGTCCCCTCGGGGGC